CTGCCTCAGCCTCCCGGGTAGCTGGGACTACAGGCATGCGCCACCATGCCCGGCTAATTTTTTATATATATATCAGTTGGCCAATTAATTTCTTTCTATTTATAGTAGAGACGGGGTCTCGCTCTTGCTCAGGCTGGTTTTGAACTCCTGACCTTGAGCAATCCGCCCGCCTCGGCCTCCCAAGAGCTAGGATTACAGGCGTGAGCCACAGCGCCCGGCCTGGCCTGTCTGTTTGTGGATATATTTTTTATTGTATCTTTACCACAACATATATTTTGTGGCAGTCTATTTGTTTCAGTCTATTTTTTGGATTGTGTGGAAATGACTGGTTAGATTTCCAAACAATTTGAGAACATGATTGGTATGTTTTGACTACAAAATTCTCTTGGGCGGTGTAAAATTTGAGGGGGTAATTAGAACTTGAGCCTCTGCAGGCTGAGGAAAGGATGTGTCCTTCAGAGGTTAAGTTATGTGGGAGACAATGATGACTATTTTGAAGTGCAAAAAATTTCATTTACAAACTGATGCCTAGAATTCAGATGTTAAAAATAAAAAGGAAATCAGTATTTATGCCCAGCTTCCACTGATTCCCTGAAAAGTACCCCTTCCATTTTAGTTTATTCCATTTTTATTATTTTTTTGAGACAGGGTCTCACTCTGTTGCCCGGGGTAGAGTGCTGTGGTGTCAGCCTAGCTCACAGCAACCTCAAACTCCTGCGCTCAAGTGATTCTCCTGCCTCACTCAGCCTCCCAAGTAGCGGGGTCTACAGGCACACACCACAACACCCAGCTAATATTTTCTATTTCTGGTAGAGATGGGGTCTCTTGCTCAGGCTAGTTTCAAACTCCTGACCTCAAGCAATCCTCCCACCTTGGCCTTCCAAAGTGCTAAGATTCCAAGCATGAGCCACCGTGCCCAGCCCTATTTTCTTTTTTAAAGTGCTTCATAATTATTTCCCAAAGGCACAACAGGTAATTTAGTATTAAATAAAATTTGGTAAAGATGTAGAGCAGTGATGTTTTAACTATAAGCATCTGAAACTGAATACCGTTACTATAGACAGCATATAAGTTTATTAGAAAAAATATTAGTCACTTGTAGAATTTCTATGAGATGTAGAGAAGGAGGTTTCGAGATTTTTTCCCAATGTTTTCCCACCTGGATCACAGGTGCAGTGCTTGGAGGTTGTGTAGTCATTCTGTGATGATGAGGACAAAAGTCATTCCCTGGAAAAGCAGGAAGTTAGAATCGTCTTAGGGACTTAAATTTCCTTGAATTGGTGTAGCAGTTTTAGACTGCCCACCTCTGAACATTTTGTTATTTGAAAAAGATAAACCCATACATGGTGTAATCATTGTAGTTATGTGTTCTGTTACGTGCAGCCAGATGCACTCCTCATTGATATTTTCTGCAACGAATTATGGCTGTATTCCCGTAGTGCTGTTAAGCCACTTGTCATACCATACTGGAACCTCAAATTTTACTGTATATTCCTTTCCTTGGACAGGAAGCTCCTTGAGTCCAGAAATGATCATCTTTGCATCCCTGGCATCCTAGCACCTCTTGGCAAATACTGGGGCTCTATAAATTGTTGGTAGAATGAATGTGGTGGACAACAGCCTTTCATCACTTACATGTTGTATAGTGTCTCATTGTAGTTAAGATGCGCTGAGTAATATTTAGGAGATAAATCAGGCAGATTTGATGATTCAGTGGAAAAAGAGAGAGAAAGGGGGAGAGATCTAGGATGACTCCTAGGAGTCTGGATCAGACACTTAACAAATGAATTGAATGGCAGTCACCAAAATAGGAAATATTTCCAGAGCAGTGTAATTGGGAAGACAATGGGGTTCATTGTTCTCATTGACAGATAAGGAAAACCGTGGCTGAGAGAATTCAGTATCTTGCCTGAGATCAAACCACCACCCAGTGGCAGAGCAAGAATTCAAACCTAGGCAGCTACACAATGCCTCGACATCTATTATTAAAATATTTCTTAACTTTAGCTCCTGCCTGTCTACCTGAGAGAAGCCATGGATTCCAGCCAAAACAGTATTACTGGAGAGACTAAAATGTCTACTCTTCTATTTCTGTGAGCATCTATGAGCATGACCAGAAGCTGTGGCCAGGGTGTTTTAACTGCTGAGAGCATCTTGGTACATCAATATTATTAATGCTAGCTCTTTTATTTATTTACTTATTATTTATTTATTTTTCATTGTTCAGGAGAAGAAATGCTAGATCTTTTAAAACATCATTAATTTTTTCAAAGAAAAATATCTTGAGGCTGGGCATGGTGGCTTACGCCTATAATCCTAGCACTCTGGGAGGCTGAGGCAGGCGGATCGCTCAAGGTCAGGAGTTGAAAACCAGCCTGAGCAACAGCAAGACCCTGTCTCTACTAAAAATAGAAAGAAATTAATTAGTCAACTAAAATATATAGAAAAAATTAGCCAGGCATGGTGGCCCATACCTGTAGTCCCAGCTACTCAGGAGGCTGAGGCAGAAGGATCACTTGATCCCAGGAGTTTGAGGTTGCTGTGAGCTAGGCTGATGCCATGGCACTCTAGCCTGGGCAACAGAGTGTGACTCTGTCTCAAACAAACAAACAAACAAAAAAAGAAAGTATCTCGAGAAATTATCCCTAAATATCCAAGTAAAGAAAGCTATATTTCCAGGCTGAACTATCCCATGTTTGTGTATAAATATATGTATATAGATGTGCATACTTTTTCATTTTACCATCACACTTTCTTAATTTCATGAGGGAGAATTTCATATTATAGAGTATAAATTTACAAGTGCTTAAAGACTTTTCAAACTAAATGCAACCCAAAGAATTATAACAGCAGTATCTATCTATCCATTCATTATTTTATTGTTTTTAGCTGTAAACTAGGACTAATATAATACTACTTAATTTAGGGGATTAAATGAATTAATACATTTAAAGTGCTCAGAATCATATCAGGCACATAGTAGGGACTTTGTAAATATGAGCTACTATTTTTTTTTTTTATTTTTTATTTTTTTTAAGACTAGTCAAGTGCAGTAGTGAGGAGGGGGGAAAGTAGTAGAACAAGGAGTTCAATCTGTAACTGACTGTGAACAATCATGTGAGATAACTCACTACTATTTTTAATAATAGTATTTAGTACACCTTTCAGCAACTATTTATTGAATACCTACCCTATCCCAAGTATGTATGAACTCAAAATCCTGCTGGGTTTAAAAATAGCCTTTTGAATCCTAGCACTCTGGGAGACCGAGGTGGGTGGATCACTCAAGGTCAGGAGTTTGAAACCAGCCTGAGCAAGAGTGAGACCCCGTCTCTACTAAAAATAGAAATTAATTGGCCAACTAAAAATACATAGACAAAATTAGCCAGGCATGGTGGTGCATGCATGTAGTCTCAGCTACTCGGGAGGCTGAGGCAGGAGAATCACTTGAGCCCAGGAGTTTGAGGTTGCTGTGAGCTAGGCTGATGCCATGGCACTCTAGCCTGGGCAATAGAGTGGGACTCTGTCAAAAAAAAAAAAAATAGCCTTTTTAGAAAAATAAAAGTTTGAAATAAGTCATCCTTTAAACTAATATAGAAAAAGAATTTTAAAAATTATTAACATTAGATTCACTCAAAAATTTGCTTTTCTCCAAGCCATGTTTAAGGTAAAATTTCTTAACAAGCATAATAAGCCAATCACATGCCATAATTGAATAAAATCCACTTCAAACTTACATGGAACAATGCACATTTCTTTAACAGGCTGGGACTCATATATTTGTTTAAGCAATTGAAAACTTTACAAAATCTTGTATTTAAGATATTACTTTTTAATATCCTTGCATTAAAATAAAAATGATTACTTTTTAATATTACTGGAAACCACCTTATCCCCAACTGTAAAGATATATTTCTTGTGTGATTCTATTATATGCTTAATAATAGTACCTGTGAGCTCAGATTTCTTTTGAATAAAATTGATTGGAAACAATATCTACCCTAAAGCATCTTTAATGTCATTACAGATGGGTAGGAGTAAATTAAGCGGTATTTAGGCACCAAAGTCTTTAATTTCATTGCATTCGAGTAGGAGTGAGACATTATGAGGTCCAATTAAAAAAGTCGCTAATGTTTTTACATCTGAGTAGGAGTAAATTAAACAAAATCACTCCTGAGCTGCTAATATCATTTTAATTGAATGTCATTCGGTTTCTAACTGCTGTTACAACACTACAGATAATGAGGCTGTTTCTACAAAGTATCTGAGCCTAGGGCCGGGGCTGCTGAAATAAAGCTATAGGTTAGGAGTTGATAGGACAGGCACTGGGACCTGTGGAAAGAAGCCAGCCTCCATGATCAAAGAGGTGACATGCCATTTGACAACAGGACCCACATGTATTAAAACAATCGGATCACAAAATCTGAATACCTGCTGGCTGCAAGTTGGATCGTTATTCCTGGGGGGATTGGCATGGGGGGGGGGGGGGGAAACTACATCTTTCCTGACGATGAGATATATAGACTCTGAAAGCTAGAAACACTAATCCCATTTATTTTGCCACCATGAATTATTCATAAAGTTTGATTCAATGGAAAATTTGATGTTGAGACAATAGTTAAGAAAGGCACCTAAAAAAAAATAGAGCTGTAACTTTAAGACATTCAAAGAAATACAAAACATTCAATAAAGTTTCTTCTGTACCTAACGTTATTGTTTGAGACCTTGAAAGATTTTGATGATTAGAAGAAGGAAAATTTAAAAAGGAGATTTCCAGGTTTGGCATATAATCTATATAGCATTATTGCTATTAAATATGACAATTATTATTCACCTAGAAGTTTACAAAGTTTTGACTGTGGAAGCAGATTTATGAATGAAGACTGCTATAAATCCTATTTTAAAATTTGATTTTTATTTTTATCAAAGAATGTTTTTATATATTGCTTTAAACGTCAAAAACTGATAATGTAAAATATCTGTTCCCTATCCCTCCCTATGCAAGGTAATGATTTTTAATTTGTTAGCTGTTTCGTTTGCCATTTTTTCTATTTCTAAATATTAGTTTTATGCTGTTATTTCTTGATTTTCAGCTTTAGAAAATATCTATTGACTTTAAATTACTCTTTGACACTTCCCACACCTTCTCTTAATATATGCATATCAGGTGGTTTTTTTTTTAAATAACAGATGAGATCTCCATCTTGCTCAGGCTGGTCTCAGACTCCTGACCTCAGGCGATCCTCCCTCCTTGGCCTCCCAGAGTGCTAGGATTATAGGCGTGAGCCACCTCACCCAGCTCAGAGTTTTTTTAAAAATTCATACTTGGTGTTTGATTTTTATGACTATGTAAATAACACACAGCATGTACTAAGATTGCATTGTCTTTTTAATTACAAATCCATTTCATTATTCCTAAAATTAATGTTTGCCTTTAAAATATATTTTGTTTTCTGCGCATCTACCACCAATTCTTCCCCCAACCCTCCACTAGAACCATAAAATGCTGCCCAGGGGGGTCAAACACATCATCTAATCTCTCAGTTCCACTTTTATTTTTTCTCAGAAATATCTCCCCAGCACCCTTCTGTCATTTGCTCTAATCTGGAAAGGCTACCCAGGCCACCCCATAGCTGTTGTCTCAGGATTCGTCTTCACGGATCCGTAGAGTCCTTTTGTAAACAGGTTGCCTCTTGCAGTGAACACCACTAATTGCCCTTACATATCTATTCAATCCCCTCTTTCACCATAGTAGAATTTAGTAGAATTTTTAGCTGGTAACATGGCTGCTGATATTATAAATCAGGCATCCTCAAACTACGGCCTGCGGGCCACATGCGGGAGTTTTTGCCCGTTTTTTTTTTTTTTTTTTTTAACCTCAAAATAAGATATGTGCAGTGTGCATAGGAATTTGTTCATAGTTTTTTTTTAAACTATAGTCCAGCCCTCCAACGGTCTGAGGGACGGTGAACTGGCCCCCTGTTTAAAAAGTTTGAGGACCCCTGTTATAAATAAACCCAACAGTCTTTCTTATTCTAGGTGTGGCTACATTCCAGCCAATGGGATGTGAGTGAAAGTGTTATATGACATATTCTGGGAACTTTACTTAAGAAACAACCTGCATGTGTTTTTTTGTCCCCTCTTTGAAACTCCCTCCATTCTGTTACTCAGAACAAAGATGCCTCCTTGGACTAGGAGAATGAGTCAGTGCCTAGGCTGCCACTGAT